GGTGCTGCCTCCCCGGCGGGGGGGCTCGGCGGGGCAGTACCGGGGGGGGCTGGAGCCGTCCGGCAGCCCCGTACCCGTCCCAGAAACGTCCCGGGAGAGGAAGGGTCAGATCCTCCACGTGTGTTCGGGAAAGCGCCGTGACTGCGAACGCGAGCGGACTGTAGAAGTTCGGGCAGGGGCTCCCTTCGCCGGGCATGGGCCAGCGGCCGTGCCGGAGCGGTCTGTTCGAGCACGGATCCGTTTCTTTTTGCGTTTGACTCTTTTGGTCTTTTGTTCTCCGGGAAAGTCGCTGCTACTTCCGTGGGGCTTTTAAGCAAAGGGCTGGCAGGTGAGCTGGACTCTAGCGCAGGTAGCACTGCTTGTAGTTTTTAGGCAGACCAGTACATCAGGGCAACACCTAGGCCTCCTATTTTGTCCTGGGGCAGCGAAGCTCTGGTGGATGCAGGAGCTGCAGCCCGGCTCGCTGGGGTGTCACTGGGGGCGGTCACACCGAGCTGGAGCCCAGGTGAGGGCCACTTCTAGAGCGCTGGAGTGAATAACCTATGCTGGCACGGAAAAGGGGGGTGAAAAAAATCACCCTTTCTCAATATCCCTCCCTTCATCCCGAGTTCAGTAGTGTCCTGGAACACTTTCATCCATCCCTCATTAATAAAATAGTAATTGCCACCGCGGTCACCTGTTTCCCAAAGGAATGGGCAGGCAGTTTCACGTAAACCGGGGACCGTTGGGAGTATCCCCAAGTTAGATTGCCACCAACCCTTCCCGTGTGTCACACAGCAAAGCCAGACACCCCCGGCTCTGCCTTCATTGCTAGCCCACATCCATCACCCGTGGGCCCCGCAGCTGGCAGAGGTGCAAATTACTCCCTTCAGGAGTGCCGTGCACCCACTTAGCACTAACAGGGCGCAGGGCTGTGGATAATCAGGGCTGGGCTGAGCACACAGCCCGGCGTGGTTTGAATAGTAATTATGTATAAGCTCAGCTTCAAGCCTCTTATCTCGCACTTGGGGGGTGGGGGACGAAGATACCAGCAGGGCTGAGGAATCTCCAGCCGCCCCCTGGACGGGTTGCGAAAGGTAAACTTGCCTCGGGGGCTGGGTGGCTGCAGCCCGTTGTGCTGTAAATGAGACCGGCCTGCAGAATCGGATGCGGAGCCTGGCTTGAACGGACTCCTAAGAACCTGCCCCGGCCCCCCCGACCTGCCCCATTCGTGGCAGAGTGCTGAAATCCGGCTGCTCTCCTCATCTCTGTCCTGTGAACAGCAAGGACTTCTCCTCCCGGGCCTCGGGGAGGGGGGTGCGAGGTGCTGGGGACCCAGTCTGAGCTGTTGGTGGCCTTTTCTGGTCTTCCAGAGCCCCTGGCCCTGCAGGCTGTGCTTGCCTGAAAGTTCTCAGGAAGCCCAAGAAATACGAAAATCACAGGGGATGTTTTCCTCGTTGGGAAAGTCAGCGAGGACTGGCTAAAGGACTGCTTGTTTTTTTCGGTACCCCAGCTTGCTTCGGTTGCGCCTTTCCCACTTGAAAGCAGGCCATGCCTAGGGACGTAGACCTCTGTTCTTCTCCCTGCCTGGTCTCCCTTCAAGGTCTTACCAGCCACGTAGGCTTGAGGAGGGACCAGTGGTGCTGTTTTGGGTGGAGGTGTGAAAAACAACCCGTTTATATCCAATTGAACAGCCACACACTGGGGGAGGTGCAGCTCTGCAGGAAGAGCTCCCTGACTGCCTTCATTTGTCATGGTGAAGGCAGTACAGCTATGTGGGCAGAAACACTTCTGCCTGGCCACGCTTTCCTGCCAGGGCTTCACATGCCCTGAATGCTCCGAGCCACGTGTCAGAGCCTCGTGCACTGATGGGAGAGGCTCAGATCTGCAATTCCTTTGTCCCCGTAGAAGGGACTGAGTCTCCTCACACCTGCAGTAATTCTTGGTTGCGGGGATGCTGGAAAGCTTTGCCAGCAAACTTTTGGGTATCTGGTAGCTATTGCCACTCCTCTAGATGTGTCGGTGTTTGGCTGCTTGGACTGATGCTGCGTGTCAGGGTTGGGGCTGGCACAAGCTGATGAGCACTGTTAGCCAACGGAGGGGCCTCCAGCTTCTCGTGTGGCCATGCTGCTGGAGTGCACCCATGCTGGCACTTCTCCCGCAGCCGCGTTCAGCTGAGGGCTTATGTCAGTGCCCCTATTCAGGCAATAGAAAAGCTGCGTTTTGCTGGCTTACGTGAAAAGCAGTGCGTGGCCACATGCAGACCTAGAGGCAACAAAAGCCACCCTTGCAACAAGGCTTTGTTGCACAGCCTCAGCATTGTTCTTGCTGTAGCCCTCCAGCATCGTCCATGGAGCTTAGCTCAGCTTTGTGCTCCTCCAGCGTCTCAGGGGGATGGTCTCAGACAGGATGGAGAAGGGCTCCCTGGTGCCTGTCTTTGTAAGCTTTCAGCCCCACCTAATCACACTCTCCTGTTCAGAGCAGGAGTTGTTCTGGGTCCTGTCTAGGCTGTTGTAGCTGAAGATACTCATCACCCTGTTTGGTTTTGCTGGGAGAGGCTCTGTGCTTGAGACAAGCTGAAACTCATCTACTACTTCATCACCAATCCTAGTACATGAGCCTTTGTGCCCTAGCCCAGAAAACAAACAAGGGTGTGGATGCCCTCTGGGTCACACAGCATCACTGAAATGTGAAGTCTTCCCTCCTACATCTTTACCACCCTGGCTGAGCCTGTTCCAGGAGCTGGAGAAGAGGATGGGTGGGGGGAAGGAAGGGTTCATGCTCAGGTTACTTCTGTCGTGATGGAGGGGGAGGTGGGAGGGTGGCTCAGGGAGGGACAAAGCTGTAGCAGAAGGGACAAATGTGTCCAAATTGGTCATCTCTCAATCTTTAGATCTGGAGTAAGCAGGTAGAACCTGCTGTTATCTGTGCTTTTATGTGGACTAAAGGGTTAACTTGCTCCTGTGTTTCTCAATCCTTGTTCCTTCCTCATGAAAAGTCACGATTGAGTGATAAAGCAGTCTGACTTGTGCTGGGCTTTGAGAAGGTAGAGGGTTACTTGGAATGCCACCGAGGCTGTTCCTGTGCGGTGCCCTGTTGTGTCTGCAAGAGGGATGGGAGTCTGTTGCAATACACTGGCTTTATTGCTCTACAAGCAGCTTCTAAGCAGCTTTAGTAGCTGGTGTTACTCTGTGTTACTAAATCTCTTGGTAAGGGAATTTCCAGGCTTTGTGGGAAAACAGGCTGCTCAGGTCTCTTCTGACCAGGAATCTAGAAACGGTGGTACTATGTGTTGCTTGTCGTACCAGCAAGCTTTCTCTGCTCTTTGAGTGACTGCAGGAGGGCATTGAACCATATTTGCTTTGGTGTAGGCAGAGTACAAGGCTGCTGCCGCCTACTGAACTTGCCTCTTTGCACTGGACATGCAGTGAGGACTTGCCGGCCTTCCCATTTTGGCAAGAAACATGACCCTGTCCGAGTGTTTGAGCTGCTCACATTTCTCTGTACAGTCTTCTAGACTTGTTGGGGAGGTGCTTTGAAGGAGTCCAGACTGGAATATCTGATGGTGATGGGTTTGCAGGGGGTGGTAAGGGGGTTTAAAGCATCCAAACCATTAGCAGGCTTTTGGGTCCAGCCAAAACGACTGCAAAGTGTGAGATGCTTGCTGGCTACCTCTGAAGCTGTTACTGGTTGCCTAGGTCTTCATTCCCTTGCCTGCTGCACAAAACTAACTTTCACGTGCTGGCAGGGCACAACAGGAGGATCTCGGATCCCACTCCTTCGAGGAAATTCGGCTTTTGTGAAAAACCCCAGTGGGACGGCTTTGAAGGCTGCTGACTTCCCTTGGAGGTAGACAGTGTAACATGCTCCCCACATTAAAAGGGTGCTTGTAACTCCTGGAGAGCTTCCCTGTCAGAGGGAGCTGTACAGCACCCGTTTCACCCGTCTTCTGTCATCACTTGGTTGCATGGAGGCCCATGGGAAGGGAGGAAAAAGTCCATGGTTTAAGTAGAAACAAGGCAGTCAATGAGCATCCCTCTCAGAATGAGCATCCCTACCAGAAAATAATCTGCACGCAGAGCTATTACAGCAATTCTGCATTACAAACAGGCATTACAGAAAACCCATGGCACTTGTCCAATAGCTCTTCTATAATGTAGATCATATAAACAGAATAAATAAGGAAATGTGATGACAGAAAAATAACCTGAAACATATGCTGGTGAAGTCTTTTTTTTTTTATATATAACTAAGCAGTTGCCAGCAATTACTTCTGTGTCAGGTAATGATAGTTGTGGGAAGGAAAAAGTCTTACGTAGGCTTCAGATAAACTGCATCAGGTAGTTCAAACCCACTAACAGTAAGCCAGGGCTGTTTGTTAGCACACCTTAAAGTGGTTTCATTATGTGAAACGGGTGTGAGCTGCTGTGTCACTTCTGTGCACTTACACAGTATTTTAGGGCTTGCAGGATTCACATTTGTTATTAAACCATCCTCAGTAGTTCTAAGCATCCGTCCTTCAGTACTTGCTGCTTTCTTGCTATAGGCTTTTCAGGCTAGGTCTCTCATTACTAACCAGCAGTAAAAAGGCTTGGCTTCTGAGTTAATAGAAGTTTATATTGACAAAATGCTGTTCCTGTCTGACAGCTGCTGTTGGGTGTGTTGTGGTTTAACCCGGCAGATGGCTGACCACCACACAGCCATTTGCTGCCCCCACCCCCCTGGGGGGATGGGGGAGAGAATCCGGGGGGTGTGTGTGTAAAATTTGTGGTTTGTGATAAAGGCAGTTTAATAGAACATAAAAGGAAAATAATAACAGAATATACGAAGTAAGTGATGCACAATGTAATTGCTCACCACCTGCTGACCAGCCAGTTCCTGAGCAGTGATTGCTGCCCCTGGCCAACTCCCCCCAGTTTATATGTTGGGCATGACATCATATGGTCTGGAATGCCCCTTTAGCCAGTTGGGGTCAGCTGTCCTGGCTGTGCCCCCTCGCAGCTTCTTGTGCCCCTGGCAAAGCAGGGGAAGCTGAAAAGTCCTTTGACTTGGTGTAAGCCACAACTACAACATCAGTGTGTAACCAACGTTCTTCTCATGCTAAATCCAAAACACAGTGCTATGCCAGCTACTAGGAAGAAAATTAACTCTGTCCCCGCTAAAACCAGGACAGGGTGCCAGTTGTCTTGCCCTGTGCAGGATTTCCCCCACCCCCAACAGCCATGATGTATGTCCTGGGAGGCTACAAGCGTTGCACTACCTGTTTCTGTTAATGAGACAGTTGCAGCAGCAAGGAGTGTGGGAGAAATCCTGTTTCTCTCTCATACGATAGAAGTGGTAAAGTTAAATTGCTGTA